TGTGTGTGTGTGTGTGTGTGTGTGTGTGTGTGTGTGTGTGTGTGTGTAGGGGAGGTCTCCATTAACCGAATCACCACATCACCTAGCACCTAGTACAGCGCTTGGTTCACAGGGACCTATAAGTGTTTGTTGAGCTGAATTGAACTTGACATCACTTCCATCCCTAAGATTCTGTGATTCTATGAGTTGTGACTCTCACCCTTGGTCGAACTGATCACCTTCAGTGATGTCCTCATGGTCATCCAGCGTATCATGTTGCCTTCTCCTCCCTTGGTGTGACCTGCTCCAGATTGTCGTCCCTTTCTGTTATAAAACCACAGCTTAACAGCAGACACATTCAGTGGTACATTTTTATTGCTACTATCCTTTCCTAAAAGCCCCTTTTCTTTATAGTGATTGTTGAGGGAGGAAGTCTGCACCTAAGTCAGTTCTGGGGATGTGGCTTTCTGCCTGAGGATTGCATCATGTTTTTTTCCCTTCCCAGTTGTTTGATGAAGAGAATCCAGTGCACCAATCTGGAAATAGATACATGTTTACTACTGAAGGACATATCGTGTCTGTGGACAAACATCTTCGGAACTCTCCTTGGAAAAAATCCCTTTCAGAAGAGGGAGAGGAGCATCAGGAAGAAAAACCTGTGCCTAGACCCAAACCTTTGGACTTGAAAGTTATCAATTCAAGCCTAAATGTAAGCATTTTTAAAAGAGTGTGGTTAGAAGGTGGAAAAAATACTGGTGATGAGCCGTTATTAAGGTGATTGGAGGAGGGAGGGACAGGGAAGCAATTCCTGTTAATTGGAATTTTAAATTGGAGGTGGTTGTTTTCAGATTTGGCTATTTGGTATGATAAGCCGGTTTTAAAACTATGTTTTACTGAATGTAATGTGATGTTCTGATAGGAGTGAGGCAGAAAATGAGGACTTTTAAGACTTAATATGGTTGCTCTTAATATTTGACTGAAGTAGAATTAGTTATTTTGGTGAGGCAGCCTCTAAAATCACCCCAAACCAGAGTTCCACAGAACCTTTTAATTCTGCTCTGTTCTGAATGTCTTGGTCCCATCTCTTCCACATCTCCCAACAGAAAAAAGCCTATTTGTCAGAATAATGCCCATACTGGATGTTTGGGACTGTTTATCTGTATCACGTTACGTATTGAAAACTTTGGAGGAGGCAGCCCCACTCGTTGATGTAACCTCTGCTTTGTCCTCTCCTTTTCTCCAAAATAGCTGCTTAAAGTGCTTTCAACATACAGTTTTCTAGCATTTGGATAGCCTTGTGAATGTCAGGGTGGTAAAAGGAAGAGATTGAAACATGGTTCCAGTATGGAGGGGTGGGGGAGTTGGGAGTAGGGGGTGTTTTTAGACAAGTCGCCATCTCAGATTCTAGGATGACTAATTTATTGTGGAGTCAAAGAACCAGTTTCTCTTCCCAGCTGTGTCACCAACTAGCTATATGATCTAGATAAGCCGACTTTTCTGAGCCTCAGTTTCCTGATTTTTGAAATGAAGGGATTGGGTTTACACGTCAAAAATCCCTTCCAGCTCATATTTTGTGATGTCATCTTATATTGCCCAGTACATTAGCTATCTCTTCCATAGCTTCTTTGAACCAAAGGGTAAGAGTACATAGCCAGCTATACTACCTGAGGGACTCGTGGGCTAGGGACTGGTATTCAGCATTAATTTTTCCCCAAATTTTCCTTTTTCCTAGTGCAATCGTATTCCTGATGAGAGAAGGTATTCTCTGCCCCTTAAGAGTATCTACATGAGACAGATTGATCAGATGGTCGGCCTGATTTGAGGGATCACCTTGCCTGGTGATGTTTAAATAAACAGATCCAGAGGTCTAACTGAAGCGGAAGGATGACGAAAGTCTGGCCATGAATAATGGTGATGATGGAGGTCTGGCCGGCAACATACTCGCTCTCTGTTCTTGCATATTTTAATTATTTTCTCCAGTTTAAAACACAATGAAAATTGGTCCCCTGTATTTCTTTATTAAGATTTGAAATCAAGAGTAGCTGGCAGATGGTCCCTTTACTGAACACAGTAGTCACTGAGCAAAGCTGAAATGACAACTCTGATTTTACAATAGACTGCTTGTGAAGGCCGGTGTTGAGGAGTGGCTGCCTCTTGTCATAGAGGCCGGCACTACCTTTTTGCAGTGGCATTGTGGTTAAGATCCCTCTACAGAAGGGTTACTGGGTTCACTTCTTTTCTTGAAACAGCAGTATTTTCTCTTGTGGGATGGTTAGGCTGTCTCCTAACTCTCCAGTAAGCCATTGTTTGTCCTGATTTTGGTTTACATTTATTTTTAAAGAAAAGAAAATTCATCTTTTGCCACTAGTGTACCAAGTAACCCTAACTAATGATTACTGCCATGTCTGAATTCTAACCAGTGGCTTCTGAAGGATCATATCATGGAACTAAGAAATGACCTTGTTTTAAGAATTTAAAGTAACAGGGACTCTCCAGAACTTTGGGTGGAGCAGAACTGCTCAGTGCTCCTCCCAGGCTTTTCATGGTTTTAAGCGCTTGAATTGTTGACATGCTTGCTGGTCGTGCTTCTTGATCCTGACCATGTTTAGGTTAAAAAACATCTTCCTTTTTTTTTTTTTTTT